GCCCATAAAGATACTAAATGATTAGTAATCGTTTGTAAACATTTACAAATGATGAATAGTTTCAACTATAGATTGGCTACTGCAAAAACATGAACAAATAATTAATAAATGATTAGTAAAGATGTGTGAATAGGGTAAATTCAGGTCTTTCGGGACACTTTTTGCCATTGAGATGTCTGCTTATAAAGGTATTAACTATTAATGATTAGTAAACATTTATAAACATTTGCAAATGATGAATAGTTTCCACTTTAGATTGGGTACTGCAAAAACAAAATAATTAATAGATTATTTGTTAAGATGTGTAAATAGAGGTCTACACAACAAACAAAGACCAACAAATGAAGATCGTATAAACTGAAAGTTACTGACATTTGTAAGCATTTCAATTTACATTAAATAATCATATGTTAATCATTAGGTAATGTTTAGTAAGCTCATTAGTAAACATTAACAAGAACATTATCTCATATTTCTAGCTATGTGAATATAATAATCTGTTACGCATTATATAATGTTTGTTAATGATTTATAAATGAAAGTTATTATAAAGTGTTACCCTGCATCAAACAAGCTGGATGTTGTCATAGAGTTGGCCATTTCTCTGTTAACATTCCCCTGCTAAGAGACACGGCCCTGCACACCAGATGCTTTTAAACTTTCTCCTGATTCTCAAATAACTATGCAAATAAAGGTTAAGAGCAAAAGTTGCCTGGACAATTGGCTAGTTACATGATGGATTTAATGTTAAATAGGTCCAGGTACTAAACATGAATATCTCTCTTGAATCAGAGCGAATACACCAGGCCCAGGCTGCAGCTGCCAAAGCCAAGAAAGCTTTGCAGCAGAAGTCCAAACCAGCACCCAAACCTGTAAGTTCTTCCACAGTCATCCATGACATTGTTGCCTCACACTAATTTGAATTGTAAAGTGTCACTCTTGTTCCATGCTGATTTGCATTAGCTGTTGCATAGGGTTATATTTGTATGTGTGTATGTTTGTGTGTAATGTAGAAGGCATGCGGTAAAGAGCCAGAGGCTGCTCAGAGCTCAGGGAGTGAAGTAGTAGCCATTGCAGCCGCCAGCTTGTCTCAGCCCCCCTCCACCCCCACATCAAGCACACCTGGAACCCCTAAATCTCCCCTCCCTCCCACAGCAGCTACTCCAATCAAAGTAGGTGCCCCGGAACCCGTCAAAACCAATCCCAGGTCAGTGGCTAATAAACAACTAAGGAATTTCCCTTAGGAGCGAATCTGGCAAATACCAATTCATTTATGGTTAGTTCAGCCAAAAAGGAAAATCTTGTCATAATTTTTTCAACTCACAGTATGTCTTTTTCAAAACCCATATGACTGACTGACATCTGTGGAACACTGAGGAAATTCAAAATTAGAAAATTCCAAAGAATGTTTACACAACTGAAATTCTTAAGAGCATTTTCTTTTCTGTTCAAGCCATGCAAGTTTGAAACAACATGAGGGTGAGGTGATGACACAATTTTCTTTTTTGGTTGAACAATTTCTTTAACGTGTATTTCACAGGGACAAATTCAGACAAAATTTCAGTAAAGTGACGCACCTTAATGCAACACAAAGCTGAAATGCAGCTGTATCATCACTCATGCTACATACTTTGTTATTTGACTTTAATGATCATAATTTGATTTCTCTTTTCCACAGTGTCCTGTTGGTGTCTCCTCCTTCCATGCCTCCATTAGGAACGTTGCTATCTGCCAGTCAGCCTGGCCCACAGGTTTCCCAACAGGCCTCTCCGCAGCCTGCAACTCGGGTAGTGGCACACTCTGCTGCCACAGGCTCTCTGCCTCAGGTGCGAGTGGTCACTGCCCAGGCCGGTCTTCAGACATCCTCTGCAGGTCAGGCGGCCACATTAGTGCATCAGAGCCCTCACCATATCAGGGTGCCGGTCACTGTGGCCCATGGAAAGAGCATCACGCAGGTGCATCACTACAGCATCTCAAATTACAATAATGTGTGTGCGTTCAGTGTGGTATAAACAGGCAACGTGTCCAACTCTATCCAGTCAAGTACCTTTATTAGATTCTTGGTTGTCTGTCTTTGAGCAGGCGGTGGTGACTCTACCACTAAGAGGCCATTCTGCAGGAAGTCCCATTCAAGTGCAGTCTTCACGGGGTCAGGCCAGTCTTGCTGTTCCAGGTCTTGCCTCTACGGTCACAGTAACCAAACATCAGACGAGCTCCCCTGCCAGCCCACCACACAACCCAACATCACCTGCAGTATTGCAGGGTGTCAGCAGCCAGAATATTATCAAACAGGTACAAACTCAGAGTGCATTAGACGGATTAAAAAAATTTACATTTTGAATGTTAACATGTTTTACTATGTTATTACTACATGTACCCCCTTTGTATTAATTAAAAAACACTTTTTCTAATTCTACAAGAACTACAGCAAAACTACAGCACTGTGATGCAAGGGGAAAAAAGCAATATATATGTAAAATTTTATTTATATATATTATTCTAAATTAGAACATGTTCTAAGAACAAATAAACTGACAATTACCAGTATTAACTCCATTGGAATGAATGGAATTTTATGAAATCGGTCATTAAAAGCACTGATAACTTAAATCGCAAAATAAATATCCTTGTTTTACTATACATTATAGTGCAGTGAATACCTAAATTCATTTGTAGCATTTAAAATGATTGTTTTTAGTGTCAAAATAATTTGAATATCAGCCATTTACATTTAACATTTGAAAAATTTTAAGAATTTAGTTAGCAGGTTTGCCACACAACCCAACATCACCTGCAGTATTGCAGGGTGTCAGCAGCCAGAATATTATCAAACAGGTACAAACTCAGAGTGCATTAGACGGATTAAAAAAAATTTACATTTTGAATGTTAACATGTTTTACTATGTTATTACTACATGTACCCCCTTTGTATTAATTAAAAAACACTTTTTCTAATTCTACAAGAACTACAGCAAAACTACAGCACTGTGATGCAAGGGGAAAAAAGCAATATATATGTAAAATTTTATTTATATATATTATTCTAAATTAGAACATGTTCTAAGAACAAATAAACTGACAATTACCAGTATTAACTCCATTGGAATGAATGGAATTTTATGAAATCGGTCATTAAAAGCACTGATAACTTAAATCGCAAAATAAATATCCTTGTTTTACTATACATTATAGTGCAGTGAATACCTAAATTCATTTGTAGCATTTAAAATGATTGTTTTTAGTGTCAAAATAATTTGAATATCAGCCATTTACATTTAACATTTGAAAAATTTTAAGAATTTAGTTAGCAGGTTTGATTGCTTACATATCTGGTAATAATAAAAAAAAAAACACCGTAGGTTTGCACATCCAAAACCCAAACTGGGCTCAGGTGCATGCCATAAAAAGCAGTAAATGAAAAAATCATGCCTGATGAAGATCTGACTTGACTAAACATTTCACTGTTTATTAATAGACTTATAATACTTGTAATAATATTAATGGTCATTTTATGTGCTTTCCTTGTATAAAGTGTGTGTGTAAATATATATATATCAGTCATATGGGCCATAACTTGAAAATAATTATCAACTTATCATATTGGCCTGAATTTATTAGTGCATTGCCAATTAAAATACTGGACACTATCCATTCTATTTCCATGTTGAATCTCGGTTACTTTTGCTTCGTTCAGGTTGCAATCACTGGTCAGTTAGGTGTAAAGACCCAGAGTGGGGCAGGGATCCCTCTCACTGCCACTAACCTCCGCATTCAGGGGAAGGATGTACTCCGCTTGCCCTCCTCCTCAATTACGACCGACGCTAAAGGTCAGACAGTACTTCGCATTACCCCAGACATGATGGCCACCCTCACTAAATCTCCAGTGGCCACTGTCAAACTCACTCCAGACATGCTGAGCAGTGCCATGAGCTCAGGCAGCAAGAGCATCTCTGCTACACTACATGTGTCTGCACCCCAGCCCTCACCTCCTACTTCAAACACCGCTGCATCCGCAACAGCTGAGAACTTGGCTGCCAAAGCACCGGCTACCCTAGTGAAGGTTCACCCGGAGCTGAAGGCTGCCTGTGACACCACCATCCGCCTCATGCCCGCCTTGGCCGTCACTATGGCTGACCCCAAGGCCCGCACATACTCATCTGTCACCTCGTCCGACGCTAAAGCAGGCACCACTATTCGAATAGTGCCAAACCTTGGTGTGATCCCTCAGAAACAAGGTCAGACTGTCTCAATCAGCACAACCACAAGTACAAAGCCTGTCACGGTATCATCAGGGGCGGCCACTGTTACTATAGCCACCAGTGGAGTGGGAGGGGCCAAAAAAACTACTTGAACATACAAGTAGAGACACACAAACAAAAAAAATCCTATATAGCACTCACTTCACTGGCGCTCCTGCTCTAAGAAAACAAACATATGAGAAGACATAAAAGAGGAGGAATTATCAGCCTCTGAGATGCAGAGCATACTTCTGACAACCTTTTAATCACATCTGATGGTAATAATACATTTTTATTTTTGCATTTTGTCAATTGTATAATCTTATGTTCATTTTAACAGACAATCACACAATTTAGATATTTTATAAGTAAATCTGAAAACAACAACAACAAAAGACTCCAAGACCCACCCGAGCTCACAACCTCAACCTCTCACAAAAAAAACAGTGTTTCTGCAAGGATTTTTAAGCTCAAATTTAAGACTTTTTAAGACCTGCACAAATAAAATGAATATCATATGAACGGGGTAGGGCAACGTCTATAGCAGGGGTGCCCAACCCTGTTCCTGGAGAGCTACCTTCCTGCAGAGTTTAGCTTCAACCCTGATCAAACACAACTGAACCAACTAATTAGGATCTGAAGGAGCACTTGATAATTGCAGACAGGTGTGTTTGATCAGGGTTGGAACTGAACTCTGCAGGAAGGTAGATCTCCAGGAACAGGGTTGGGCACCCCTGGTCTATAGTAACATATTAAACTGTAAAATGACTGTGAAAAGCATGATTATTCTTATCGATCCACCAGTTCACATTTACAGCTCTGTGTGATTTTCACATAGGTCTTAACATAAACAACCCCAATACTGTCTTCCTGCAATGATGGAGGCTGCAGTTTCAGGACCGCATTTCTAGGACCGCATTATACTAGGACCCTATTTTTTTGAAAAATATATAAATCTTAAAAAGATAGTTCATTATACACAAAAATGGCTAAAAAAAAATCAATTTAGGCTAGGTATGCAGGTAGGCTATTGATTAATTTGTACAGGAAAGGGTAACTGAAGTTATAAACCATTCACTGAAGCTGATACAAAAGGACATGCAACAAACAAACCTTAAAGGGTTAGTTCACCCAAAAATGAAAATTATTAATTAAGCAGCCCGGAACTGCTTCCGTGTAGGACTGTTGGCGCAAGCTACAATAAAGTGATTATTACGTTTTGTATATGGATATTTTTCTTACAAAAACGCATCGATTCGCTACAGGAGGCTTTTGTTCACCCCCCGGGGCCGTGTGAGACACTTTTTTTTATGGATGGTCGCATTTTATTTAAAGGGGTAATATGATGCGATTTCGATTTTTCCTTTCTCTTTGGAGTGTTACAAGCTCTTGGTGCATAAAGAAGATCTGTAAAGTTGCAAAGACTAAAGTATCAATGACCCCTTTAACTTCTTTTGGACTGATGCATGCAACACCCGCTGAGTGGCATTAAACAGCTTGAAAGATCAAAGACAATTTTTCATATAACTCCGACTGGATTCGTCTGAAAGAAGAAAGTCATATACACCTAGGATGACTTGAGGGTGAGTAATTTGTGGCCTAATTTCATTTTTGGGTGAACTAACCCTTTAAGCAGAATGAACTTTGCTCTCAAAACTTTTGCTGTTATGTAGGCTAAGCAACCTCACCAAACACTCATAGCAGCTGTATGGATGAATGGAGATTAACAGACATTTTAAAACTGTAGTGCCACCATGAGGAAAAATAATAGATTCAATATAGAATCAAGACTAATTATAATCTAAACGATGACCTGGATGAATGAAAATTCCAAAACACAAAGAATCCTGTTCTTGTAGCCTAAAACATGAGTAGATGTAGAGATTATTCACATTTATTGATATTCCGTTAATGGAATCAAGGAAAAAATTTGGCAAGGTTTTAGGAATATCTTGAAAATAATACAATAAACCTTGTGACTTAAAAATAACATCTACAAAATTGTACAGAATATCTTTTTCTCTCTGAAGGGGTTTTCTGAGGATGGTACGGGGGTCACCAGGGGGTCCTCTTTTGCATGGGACTCACAGTAAGCCATCAGCTCAGCTGCTGCTTTAGACACCTGTGCAAAGAGATCCAAGCCAAATATACAGCCAGAAATAACATCCCATAAAGCTGTTTGTGCATTTTCTTTTCCTCTTGAATAATTTTGTATTATTTTGTAATAATTTTTAATTAATTTTAAATGGCATTTGTAATTGTTTATGTTAATGAATAAAGCTAACATAAATTATTTAGCATAAAAATGTGTCTTACCATCATCCTGTCAATATTAACCTCCAGTTTCAGTTGTTCCACTGTTTTTCGTGCATCTGCAATTTTGGCCATGTTATTAGACATTCTGCTCTTTTGTAGACACCCAATGAACCCTGCAGGAAAACAGCAAAACAAACCCCAGGAGAGTCTGGCTAAATGCATCTGGTAGATAACAACTCACCTCCAGTTCTACAGATGTCTGATGTTTTAGTTCCCTAAGAAGACAGTGCTATTGGCTCCTCTAGGCTATTAAAGACATCTCTGTTGCAGAGTTGCAGTAATTGTTTTGCTGGGTCTCAGCTGGTCATGTTTTGGATGAGGCTCAGTGGGAGAGGTGAAACAGAGGAGTGCAGAAATGCTCTAGAGACCACAAATAATCTTCTCACTTATTAATATAAAGTCATATAATGTGCTTCACACTTTAAAATTAAAGTCACAGTTTCACACAATTTACTCACAATTTAAAGGTAAATTGCTGAACAATATGTTATTTCAGATGTTATTTCAGTTTATGAGTTTTTCTAAAAGTTTTAAGAGCATTTAACTTTTTTTTCTCCATAAATTTTGCACACGGAAACATTTTGTTATGGCAACATAGATTTTCATATGGAAATCTAAGCACCACCAAAATTTGAATCATGCTGTTGCAAAGCAATGAAATATAATGTGGCATAACTGTTTGTCATATTATATTACAATTTCTAGATATAACAAATGTACATAATTTAACTAACAAATGCATGTTCCTCTTTAAAGATTTAAAGTATACTTTGCAGATAATTAAGAGAGAAAAAAACATGTTTAGTCTATACAAAACAAAACTTTAACTATATTTAATGCATCATACTGCTTATACTGTATATCTTAATGACTTACCACAGTTAATCCAGATTTATCCGTGATGCTGGCAGAAGAAAAGTCTTGTTATCGTAGATTGTTTGTTGTACACATTACGACCTGCAGGACTGAATGAAGAGATAGTAAGGTGTGGATGGATGGGAAAGGCTGCCGTCTCTCATAATTAGCTTTTATTCCTTCCCCATATTGGGCTGAAGAGGCAAGTCACAGGCATCATGGGGTGTGACCTTCAGCTGAATATCTGTCATGCATAATATCGCATGAGTGATACCTGCCACCACAATGAGCTGCACTGAGCTATTATGTTGAGTAAAAAACTGCCATTTCAACAGACGGATAAAACATGAATAAATTATTGAACTGAAGCAGATAAAATAAGTAATGTAAGATGGTTGAAATAAAATAGAATAATTTTTATTCTTTGTGTTTACAGTATAAAAGCCTGGGGTGGGGTAAAGTTACAGCAAATGATGATTTTCATGCCCTCCTCAAACAAATGTTTGCAACCTGTGAAGATATAAGACTATTAATAGCTATTCTGCATGTGATTACTGCACTTTGTCGTTTCGGCATTTGCTCTATTGTTTCTATTTATTTTTTTATTATTTGTGAAAACTAAATATTTGCACATTAGATTAACATGTCCCTCCTGATATGAATCCCACCCAGAGGACTGTGACACCCGGAGAGAAACTGAAGCTGTGCTTAAGTGTTTCAGTTATCATCGTTAATACCTGGGGAAGAATCGCAGGTTGAGCTCGACTGCAGGTGGCTCAAAGCTCTGCTCCAGGGCTTTAATGTCAAATGGCTCATTAGCAGCTGATTTCAGACATGATTTATGTGAGAAATGTAGCTAAATCCAGCCCTGAATTATGCACCGAAAATTTACTGAACAATTGACTTTGGCATTTAAATATTTAATCATAGCACTGGTGGTTCACTCAGAGAGAAAAGAAAAGAAAAGGAAAAAGAAAGCTACTACTCGTTTCATGTTTGGTATATATTAATATGCAGAAATGTCACTCTTCCAGTCAATAAAAAAAAGACACTGTTGCATAGTCATTTCTTTGGCTCAGTGCCATATTGTAAGGCTACAGGACTAAATATAAACTCGTCTCTGCTGGTTGTAGTAAAATGTTTGCACATGTTATTTCCTTAAAACTTGATCAATTTACTTGAGAAGAAGAACAGCAAAATCTGTTGTTTTCAGAGAACAAATCTTTATATATTTTCATTTAATTAACATATTTATATTTGTATAATTTTATTTTTCTTACCCACTGGAATGTTTTTTTCTCCTAAGGTTGTTTTACACATAAACCTCACTAAAATTTGTTTAGATTTATTCTTAATACAAGAAAAAGAAAAATGACTTCAGGACATGAAGTAGGGAAACCTAACTTAAACAAGTCCTAACATTCGCTAACACAATTTTGCTTTTAAAATACACATATTTTGCTTTTAGATGTTTAGATGTTTTTACTGAAAAAAGGACAAAAATACTGATTGAAAGAAAAAAAAAACGGTTGTGGTGACCCTCATAAAGTAGCTAAGATTATGTTTCTAACGTGCACTTGAAAATGTTTTTTCTTGCTCTTTCTTGTTTATAGTATCATTTTAATGTTCATCACTTTTTGGAAAACTGTTATTGTTTGTTTAATGTCACCTTTCCATACAAAAGTGAAGTGATCGTAGAGAGAGAGAGAGAGAGAGAGCGAGAGAGAGAGAGAGAGAGAGAGAGAGAATAAATCCATGAAAATATGAGATGTGAAAATGTTCAGGTTGGCTAATGGCTGAAAGTTTTATGTAGCAGTTGCAAATACTGTCCTAAACATGCTGTAATCTGTTTTTCATGAACGACTATATGCATGGTTTATCTTCTTTTTGCACCGTTAAATTTCATTACAGTATTGTGTTGTACAATGGTTTTGATATTTACATACTTTAAATGTGTTCGCAAAACTGTTGGCAGTTTATTGAAGTGAAAGCAGGAATAACAATGTATAAAACTGAAGTTAGGCTTCACTTTCAAATTCCAAGCACTGATATTGGCTTTATTAACTGATTTGACTAAAAGGTTAGGTTTCAAAACTTGACTGCGACTTTCAATACTTTAAAAAATAAAGTAACCCTTGTGACATTGTTTTATTACATTTAATTCAATAAAAAAGAATCATGCACAGGTCTTGAATGTTTCTGCATCACATTCTTGCAGAGATTCCCTGCAGCAACATGTGGTGTTTAATTCACTTGCAGGCATCAAGCAGAATTACAAAGAGCAGAATTTATAATTACATCTGAAAACACAGATTTACAAGGGTTACAGCTGTTCTTTTATGGAGACAGATCAGCCTCAAAAATAACACATTTGCAAAACAAAATTCATAAATGCATAGCACAATTTACATTTACAAAATCCGATTCGTAAATTCAAAACACAATTCATAAATACACAAGTAAAAACATAAATATTTCCCCAAATGCATCTTACCTAAATACATTAAAATGTTTACACAAATATGTATATATCAAGTTCTTGAATTAATTTCCATCGCACATTTATGAATGATATTACATGTATTTATGGATCGTTGAATATGCATTTGCAAATCATCACACATGCGTGGACTGCTTTGAATTTGTGCGTGGTATTTTTGAGACCTTCCTGGCAGGTTAAGATTCATAAATATCTTTTTTTGGAGGATGTTCCGTTCAGCCAATCGCGGTGAGCTTTTAATCCACCAATCAAAACGCTCTTTACTGAACAGACTCAAGAAGCTCAACGCTGTGCTTGTACTGTGCAGTGTTCCATGATCGGGTCCTTGATATAAAGACATTTTAATGGGTACTCTTTTTTGGGTAGTATTCTTTTTTTTAGCACCTTATTACAATTTCTACAAAATCACATTATGATTTATATCGTTCGCACAAAATACAGCTACCTGGTTAGCCTGCTGTCTTATACACCAAAGTTGCACATACCCTGTTTATTCAGATCAATCTGTAATGTTATCAAATAAGTGTTAAATGTCCAGATATTTAATTTAATAACAACAGTTATGTAATGTGTTCTGTTGTTGTTGTTAGTGGTAGTAGTATCAGGTTCGCAGTAACTTTTGATCAGGCATTAAAAACAGCTATCACCATCTAAGGGAGATTTCGAACACACACAATCGAAGAGATTTAGCAACACTCAACGAGTGAGTAAAGTCGTTTTTTTAATCTAATGGCATTTTCTTATGATTATAGATTGTTTTAGTTAATTAAGTGTGCAGTGTTACAACGTTGTTAGTCCACGCCAGCTTTCTTATATTTTAACTGGTGTTTGTGGGAACACTTTAGTAATCACAGGATGAACGGGCGATAAACAATCAGTTAAACAACGATTTCGATGCTAAACTATTGCATAATTTTAAATACGATTTGTAGTCAGTGGCTTCTAAAGTTACCATTGCGACCAGCTATAACCATAAGAAAATGCCATCAGATAAAAAAACGACTTTACTCACTCGTTGAGTGTGGTTTTCATCCTCCATGCTGAAATCTCTTTGCTTGTGTGTGTTCGAAATCTCCCTTCGGAAATTTGTGTGTGCGGGAGAATAAAATGATTCACGGGACTCCCGCAAAATAGAAATATCTAAACATAAAATATCTAAAACAAATAAATTGTTATTCATCTATTGCACAAAAGCAACATGAACTAATATAAAATATAAACGATTAACAGGTGTAAGCGTATGCAGAGTTTCTATTTAGGCTATAACACGTGTTTGTAGCGTTGGGTGCTCACGAATCCTCTCATTACGATTCATTATGCTTATATTTATTGTGTTATAACAGAGATTTGTGCGATATTATAACTATGAACTGAAAAGTCTTTTAGAGACTATAAATGCAGTGCTCTTTGCTGGCATTCTGTCATATTGTAACAACGCGCAGTTGTTCTATAGAACGTGGGGCTAACTGGAGCTACGCTAGGCTACTAAACTGCTGCTAAGCTAATTGCTAATAGGATGCTAGCATCTACACGTCAAGACTTTTAATATGGTTATTGGAAAGCGCGAACACTCGCATCCCATACAACGCATGACCTTGAGTGTCTCTATGAACAGAAGCACAGACAGAACAAACCAGCAGGAGACAGTACCGTCATTTTACTCCTTTTACTATACACACAGAATAAGAACATACACAGCCTAGGCCATATCGCCAAGTGCCTCCCCCTCCATGACGGTGACAGCCACACTTTTTATAACAAGGCAGTAAATCAACCAAACCCACCCGAACTAACTTGAACATAAACACAAATGACGCA